CCCCCCCCCGCGGAAACCAGCTCCAGGCCTCCGTGCCCAGCGCCCACACAGGTAAACGCTGTGGCACCTGCCAGCACCCCAACAGGACCTCAGCAGCCACCAGAAAGGACACGCTCTGCTAGTCCCACGGGGTGAGCAGGTCAGGCTCCTCTGAGAGAGCTCTGTGTGGCCCGGGGGGCTGTGAGGGCCACGCCCCCCCACGAGCCACCATCCCCTCCAGGGGGCTTCCTCCCTGCAGGGTCCTCCCGGGGAGGGACCTGGGGTCCAGCTATATCAGCAAGCACTCTCACGTGGGGGTGAGCATCCCTGTCACTCAGTATCCCCAGGACCCGACCCCCCAACACCCAGCAGCTCTGGCTGCTCACAGAAGCCCCTCAAATTTGGGGCAAATGCTCTTTCCCAAGGCACACCCTCACGTCAGCCACAGTCCCACCACAGCTGAAGACGGGGACCCTCGTGCTCCCCCTCCCAGGGCTCCGCAGGCCTGCACACAGCCCCCCCCACACCACCTGGAGGCTCTGTCCAGGGAAAGAGGACGACGGGGGGATGGTCTCTGCCTCCAACACCTTAGAAGGGCTCCAGCTCTGAGCAACCCCCCAACCAGCCTTGCTGTCTCTCCCAGCGCAGACACGGGGCCTAGAAGCACGACCCAGGGCCCCCCAACGCCCAATCTCCTGGGGAAATATTCCCGCCCCCCGAGTGTCAGAGCCTGAGGCACGGCTAACTGTACTCAGCGAAAACTGACACAGTCCCACGTGGCCAGTGGCCCCTGGACGGGGCAGTGTACCCAGAGAGCCAGACCAGAGCTGGAGGGAGCTGGGCTGCCGGCACCCACAGCCTCCCTGAGCACGGCCCCACGGGCTCGAGGGGGCAAGGACCCCCAGCTCAGGGGCTTTTCCTGCCCACAGAAGCCGACAGCAGGGCCCCGAGAGGGGCGGGCAGGCCAGCCCAGGGGGCCTGGGGACCACGTGGGTGGAAGGGCGCCCACAGACACTCCCCAAGACCAGACTGAACAGACAGGCACTCGGACACAGCACACTGCTGCCTTCAACAGAGGGACCCACACGGACACAGGGGCAAAGCAGCTGGAGAACGGGGGTCTCCTCCAGGCACAGGGGGAGGGGCAGTGAGAACCGGGGTGGGGCAGAGGGCAGGCCGGAGACACACCCAGAGCAGCACAGCCTGAGACCCGAGGCCTGGCCCCCCACACCCTGACCCTGACCCAGACGGCCTTGGCCTGACGCGAGCACAGCTGCAGTGGGTTCTGCCCAGCCAAAGGACCCCCACACCGCCGGGGCGCATGCCCACCGTGAGCCCGGACCGGGAGGGGGCCTCTCGGCGGCGGAGTGAGGGTCCCTGTGCCCACCCCATCCACCTGCCCAGACCGTCAGCGCCAGCAGGACCCTGGGGTACAGGTGGCAGGTAGTGGCCTGGCCACTACCGCCCGCCCACCACGGGGCGGGGGCAGGGGGCCGGGGGGAGCACACCCCCATGAGCACTTCCCAGAGCAGAGTCCCCTTGCCCAGCAGCCCTGGGACAGACCCACCCCCTCGTGGGCCCCAGTGGCAGAACAATTTCCTGCATCCCTACTATGCACCGGCTGCCGGAGAGAGGGTCTGCGGCTGCCCCGGGGGACGGGACAGAAATGCCGCCCTCCCGCACCCAGCTGATAAGTGTGCATCCCAGGGCCTCAGCCCAGGGTCCGCCAGGAGGAGGGCTGGGCCAGGCTGGTCCTCGGGGAAGCCACTGGGTCACGGGCAGGCAGGGACACACGACACACGGGGAGGAGACAGAGGAGTGGTGTGCGGAAAGCAGGGAGAGGGGAGCCACGGAACGTACCGGAGAGCCCGGGGGAGGGCTCCCGTGTGTCCTCACCTTGAGTCCTGCTTTCAGGGTCAGCCACCTCCTCCCCAAAGACAGACGGACGTGAAAGGGGCCCAAGAAGGGCAGTGACAAGATTAAAGGCACTTGGGGGGGCAGGCAAGAGTGTCCAAATTGGGGGGAGGGCAGGAGAGAGAGAGAGAGAGAGAGGCTGAGACGAGGGTCGTGGGGAGGGCAACGAGAAGCCGCATCAGGCCGGGGGGCCTCGGGTGGACGGGACAGAGCCGCGGGCCCGCCTCCCCCGGGCTCAGGGTGCGGCACGCGGAAGCGCCCGGGGGCCTGAGGAACTGGAGGCAGCCCCCTGGTCCCCCACACGCCAGGCAGAGCCTGGCACGCATTTCCCACTCCTCCCTGATGACGAGCACAGAGCTCTCCATGCCGGGTAAAGCAGCTTGGCCCCCTGGCAGCTTTCTGAGCCTCTGTGAAGGGTTCGTCCCCGTTGCTCCTCTGGCTCCAGGGTCACTCTTTTTGATTCCAGGCATAGGCTGTCAGTCCCCTTTGGGGCACTCGGGGGACGGAGGAGGGCAGGGCTCAGCCTAACTCCAGCTCCACAAACTGAGTGGACAGCTGAGTCGCCTACGGCCCAGAAGGGCACTCACAGAGGGCAGCCGGACTCTGGCCCGGGGTCGGGGGACTGGGTGCTAGGGGACCCCGGGCTCAGAGGACTCAGCACAATGACACACACGCAGGCTGGGGTCCACCAGACTTGACAGTCATGAAATAGCCGGGATTTTCCCTTGAATACAGGGAAACAGCAGATGGCTGTCCGCCCTTCTCTGCCCGCAGATACGGCCCCGGTCTCTAACTAGCCTGACAGCTAACCCACCTGCAGAGGCTGGGCAGGCAGACACAGAACTGGGGGGGGTCCATCTCCACCAAAGAGGCGGGACGCAGGGCTTGAGAGTCTGGCCCTGACCCGGAGTGGGGGTGTTCACAGATCTGCTGCCTTAGGGCCCCAGGCTGGGCGGGCGGGCGGGCAGAGGGACCTGCCCTTTGGCTGCCCCACCCTGGAGCAGTGGGACAAGTTTGCTGAGCACAGGCAAAGTGATTTAAGGGCCCACAGCGCGGCCGGCGGGGTCCAGACACACAGTTTCACACGTGGGCACGCACAGACACGGAGGGACCAGCACGGCTCATGGCAACGTGCCCGGGCAGCAGGGGGCAAGCAGGCACTGACCTTGGAGAGGGCTCCGGCTGAGGCTCCTTCCTTTAAACAGAAGCGACAAAGCAGTTAGCAGCAGGCCCGCCAGGCACCCACCATGGTCCGCCCCACCTGGCGCCCACCTGAGGCCCACGCACCCCAAGAGCCCCTGGAGGGCCCAAGGAGGCAGGCCTGCAGGAGAGAGGGAATTCTGGAAGTGGTTATGGCCCCAGGTTTTAATGAGAATCACCAACATTAACTAAGTTTCACGGAGGAAGTGAGTGCAGATGGAAATGCTAACAGAGTCCGGCTTCCACAATCCGTGTTCGGGACAGACAGCTGCTCTGGTTCTTTCCACTGGGCTTCACGGGATCACTCTCCTCCGCGTGGTTCTCCCACCAAGAGCGAATGGCCACGGCCCTGGGACCGCGCTCAGCCCACCCTGCCCGTGGCTTGATGACGCCTACTGGCAACGTTCATCACGAGCAGGAATAGAAGGATGGAGGCTGGGACTGCACTCGGCGGATCCCCAGGACGACTGCAGGGGAGCCCGAGTGGGCTCTTTGGGGCACCCCCGAAACCTTTGCAGAGCACCTGGTGTATTGAGGCCACTGGCCGAACACCTGTAACTGAGGCGGCAGGAGGGCGTGCCCAGACGTCCTGCTTGGGGCTAGGGTCCCTGAGGACCGGCCCCAACCTCCTGGGCTCCCCTTTCCATGCGGTCCAGGGACACGGTGTGCAAAGGCTTCCGTGGGAACCCCAGCCCTGTGCTGCCCCATCCCACAGCCGCCCTGACCTCAGCCGCCAAGGGCTGCTTGCCGCGCATCCCTGTGTGTCCCTGGGACCACAGATCCGGTGGCTCCAAACAACAGGAATTTCCCTCTCAGTCCGGAGGCCAGAAGTCAGAAATCCAGGTGTCGCTCAGCAGCAACCCCCTCCCCGCCCCCAGGGCTGGGGGTTGGGTCCCCCTGCCTCTCCCAGCCCCTGGGGTCCCGGGCGCCCCTGAGCTTGTGGCCAAGTCGCTCTGGTCTCTGCTTCCTTGTCACACGGCCTCTCTTTTGTGTCTGTCTTTTCAGGACGGTGTCACCGGGTCTAGGGCCGCCCTAATCCAGGGTGACCGCATCTCAAGATCCTTAACTACATCTGCAAACCTTCCCTTTCCCCAAATTAGGTCCCATTCATGGTTCCAGCGCATGGATATATCTTTTGGGGGCCACCATTCAACTCACTACATTCTATGCCCCTTACACCCCAACACCCCAAAGTCTCAACCCATGACAGCATCAGCCCTATGTCCAAATCTCAACAAAAGCTCAGCGACTCAGAGAGTCCAGAATCCCAGCATCCCGGTCATCTGAACTGGGTGTGAGTGAGACTCTGGGGGTGATCCTTCCTGGGGTAAAAGTCCTCCCCAGCTGGGGACCTGTCGCCTCTAGAAAACCAGTGATCTGCCCCCAAAACACAACAGGACAGACACACCATCTGAACAGGGAGAAGTGGGAGGAATAAAGGTCACCAGTACCCAAAGTCAGGCCCAGGGGAAACCCCACTTGGTGACAAACGACCCAGTCCCCCAGGGGCCCCGGGACCCAGGCCTCAGCATGCTTGTGGCCACATGCCCCCATCTCTGCCTCCCTTCGTGTGGCCATCTTTGCTGTCTCTTATACAGACACTTATCATTGGACTCAGGGCCCATGCTAATCCAGAATGATCTCGTGTGGAGATCCTTTACTTAATAACATCTGCAAAGACTTTCCAAATAAGGTTTTGTTCGCAGGTTCCAGGGCGTGGACAAATCTCAGGGGGAGAGGCCAGGGCCACCACTCACCCCCCACGGCGGCTCCACCCCACGGACAGCTCTTCAGAGGCGGCAAACCGCTGGGGGCTGCCCTGGGCATGGGGGCCCAGGCGGCCGTCCCTCTGTCCACCCTCCTGTCAGGTGAGCCCTCCTCCCCTGCACACCTGGCTCTGTGCCCCCCACGCTCCAGAGTCACAGATTTTGGGATTACAAGAGAACCAGCAAGCGCCATAGTGGGTGCGTCCACCCAATGCTCCGGGGAGATGTGGGGCTGGCACTCCACCCCCGTATCCACCCCCCAAACCAGCCACCCTCTGGGGATGCGAGCCTCCACCGAGTCAGCAGAAATGGAAAACCACCAAGATCACCAGACCCCGGGGCATCCTGTAGCTGCCTGCCCCTCCCGAGGACCCCCCAGGAGCCCCTCTGCTGACCTGAAGGTGAGCCCAGATTTACTCTTGAGGTTCCGCAGCAGCTCCAGCTGGTTCAGGGGTGGGATCAGTCTGCGGCGAGAAGAGACACAGTGAGCTCCTGCCCGCCGGAGCCTGGGAGGCCCGCACCCCGGCTCTCACCAGCGTCCACTTCACACACAGTGCCTGCAGTGGTCATGCTGGGGGCATGGGTGTGGCCTGTCTCAGGCAGAGGGAGGGGAGAGCTCCCCGGCAACCGTGGCCCTGGGGGCCCTCTGCACCCTCTGGGCTGCATCTTTCATAGGGGCCGTGGCCCTGGCAGTGGGCATGACCAGCATGCACGGCAGAGGGGCAGGAATGCCCCCAGGCTGTCATGGAGGGCACGGACTGGGTCCAGAAGGTACCGGAAGACAGGTGGGGGGGCCTTCTACCCTCCCTTCTCCCTCTCCAATCCCTGAACACCCCAAACACCCCCAAGGGGCAGTACAGTTGCAAAGAGTACCCCTCTCTGCAAAGCTATGCCCTCTGCCAAAGTCAGGGCAGGGGCCAGGGTCCTAGAAAAGGGCTTTGCTGGGCAGAGAGAAGCCCACTCTGGGTGTGATGAGCTGCCTGGGCAGCTGGAGGAAAAGCCCCTGGATCTTTGGCAAGCTGGCCCGGCTCTGCTCCATGCCCCCTCCTCCCAGACCAGGTCACACCCACCGAGGACAAGCTCATGTCCAGCCCCCTGCCTGCAGGCTGGGCATCCACCCACGGTGGCCCCTGGGCAGCTCCAGCCAGAACTTTCATGGAAACCGAGAGGGTAATCGAGTCCTCACCTTGACACCAAGGCAGGGGACCTATAAACCCTGGGAGGTTCCTGGGAGACCCCCAGCAGCCCCCACCTCCAGCCACAGGACCGGGGCCTCACGGGGGACTCCAGTCCATCCCAACATCTGGGGCAAGCTCTATCCCTCACCCAGCCTCTGCCTGACTCAGGATCTCACTACTTTCTGCCCTCAGACACTTCTCATCTCATGTTGAGCAAACGCCCCTTGTCCTACTCGACCCCAGGCCCTGGTTGCTCCTTCTCGACGCAGCCCCCACCCGGATGACACCATCACGCTCTGACACCCTCACCCTGTCATCCCGACCCCACTGTGATCCCCCATCCCACTCGGTGACACTCTCACCCCGCTGCGACCCCTTCACCTCGCTCTGACACTCTCATCTATTCTGTGACCCCAACTCCTCTCTGGCATCCCCCACTCAAACCCTCAGCTTTGGAATCCCACGCACTCCTTTAAAACCACGCTCAAAGACCCCCACCCAGCCTCAGCCCCCAACCCTGTCCTCTATCCTTCTTGACCCTGGGCACCCCTGACCCGCCCAGGCCCATGGGCCCCGGTCAAGCATCAGTGTCTGAGCCTCTACTTGGTGTGCAAGGGGGCAGCACTACTTCCCTGCACAGCTCGGCCTCACCTGCTAGCAGGTCTCCGCCTCCTCCTCTCCCTCCGCCCGCAGACCTGGCCGGAGCCCACCCTGCCTTCGCGGGTCACTCAGTGGCTCCCCAGAGCCCCCGAGTCGAAGGATCGCTGCCCCCCCGGAAGCCATGGCACTGACAGCCAGCCTCCTAGTCTCTGGCTTTGCTCCGTGCCCCCCCCTTCCCGTCCAGCTTCCTGATGGCAGTGCCGCCCCCCACCGTGGGTCCTGCTGTTTGGTCCAGCTCAGCTCCCTCTGGAGACCTCTCTCTCCTCTCCCTCCTGCTCGCTCTTCCCTCCCCCGGCCCCTCCTCCTCCTCCAGGGCCCGCCCAGTCCTAGGGGCCAAGACTAAGCAGGAGGTGTGGGCAGTCAGGTTGGCTCACACCACGTGCACAGGAGAGGCCCCAGGGCTGGACAAGGGGACAACACTTGCCTCCCCACTGCCCCTCAACCACCCACCCATGGGCCTGCAGCAGAGACCCTGGACAGCCCCCCCACACACACACAGGTCCAAGATTAGGGACACGCAGATAGGATGTCATGCCTTGGACACACAGCAGCAAGGCACGGAACACGGATGGGCAGGGCCACAGCAGGGGCGTGCACGCACCACACGTGAGGGCCACACACATGGCCCCCACCCCTTCGGGGGTGGTCGTGGAGGACGAGAGTGCAGTGTGCCGACGGGAGTAGGGGACGTGTCGGGGGCATCCCACAGGACAGAGCAGCGGCTGGTCAGGGGTCAGCCGGCTCCGAGGGGACCAGCTCAGAGTCCAGTCACCCAGGCCGAGGTGGGGAGGGCCTGGGACTGGCTGAAGAAGATGGACCAAGGGAGGGTAGGAGGAGCCTCGAGCAGGGTACCCCCCAACTGCCGGGCAGCCTGGAGCCCCAGGAGCCCAGGGCCAGCTCACAGGGGAGGACGCTGCCCCCCGCCCGCCTTCTCCTCTGAGCGAGGCCTCTGGGGTATGCAGCCAGTAAAAGGCAGATGCTGGGGTGGAGATGCCCGTGGGGCTCAGCACCCTTCTCCTTTCCGAGAACAGAGGGTTAGCGGTCTAACACAGTTCCCACGCAGGGCGCCACAGGCCAAGAGCTTCTGCCCAGGAAACCCCGGCTCGGTGTACACGGGGAGAGGGTGGACCCTCGCTCTGCAGGCCTGTGTGTGGATGCCCTCACCCAGCACCGCCCGCACCCCTCCCTCAGGGAAGGGCCTACAGAGGAGCTGCTCTGTGCGTGGGGTAGGATTTCCTGTTGCAGCTCAGCACCCCCACTCTGGGCAAGTGACCCCCTTTCCTCCCTGCAGCAGGAGTGAGAGCTCCACGCCCCCCTCCCCTGCCCCGTGCAGACACAGTGATCCCGGACAGCACACAAGGACCACAGGCCCTCGGTGCTCCCAGGTCCAGAGAGGGAAAACCCAAACAGCACCAGAGGCCAGCTGCCTGCTGGGAACGGGATGCCCTCCCCCAGCTGGGATGGAGGAAGGCCCATCTCCACCAGCTCTGTGCCCTGCGGGCAGGGGAAGAGGTGCAGGGGAGGGACGCGGGGACTGAGACAAGGCAGGAAGCAGGACAAGGAACAGAAGACAAAGTAGGACAGACGGATCCAGCCTCAGAAAGCAGCTGACGGGGGCGGGGACGGTCAGAGAGGGAGCCGGGCTCCAGGCAGGGGCCGTGGGGAGAGCGGGGCGGTGCCTGTGCCCGGCGTGGGGAACACAGGCTGGGCACGGGTGCAGGGGTGCTGGCCAGCAGCCCTGCTCTGCAGACCGGGGGGGCGGTCCGGGGGGGCGGTCCGGAGGGGGGCTCCGGGGCAGCCCTGTACCAGCCCCAGACAGAGAACAATCACACCACACACGCTGTCCGTCCCATGCATCTCCTACCTGGAGGCCCCGTAGGTTTGAGTTTGCGAGCTTTCAAGTGTTTTCACACACACACAAAGGGAAAAGAACGGAAATTTTAAAAGAACGGGATAAGAAAAAGAAAATGAACCAAATGGTCAAGGAAAGTGGGGGAAACAACAGAACAAAGAAAATTAGCAAGAGGGTCCGCCCTGCTCAGGCCCGAGGGCTGGGGCACGGGGCTGGGAAAGCAAGAGCCTTCGGCATTCCCAGGGAAGGTGTGTGCCCCTAAGTGGAGTGTTCCAGAAAGTGCCCGGTGGGATGGGTGCTGAAGGAGGGGTGGGGCCGCATCCCCTGCCTGGCCACCACGGACTTGGGGATCCTCAGGGGGGATGCTGGCCCAGCCTAGAACCTCGCCCCACGCCAGCTGCCCAGCCTAGGGTGGAAACCTCTAGGGCAGGTAAGGGACTTCCTTGGGCTGGGAAGCCCCAGGGCTCAGCTTCACCCCCCAGGCGAGGGCAGGCCAGCAGGGTGGTGTTCACCCCAAGGGTCCCCAGCCCCTCTCACCTCAGACCTTGTTCTAAGCCAGAGCCTGGCACAGACATACCCTGGGGGTGGCCACACGCTCGCTCTGGGCTGCCACCCGCCCTCAAGAAAAGGTGGGAAGCTGCCTGCTGGCGACCCCGCGGCCTCCGGGGCCACTGGCTCGGCCCCCACCAGCGGCCCCCATCGAGGGCTTCCGGCCCTCTCCTCCCACCGCAGGGCACCTGTGTGTTGTCTGTGTGCTCTGTGCGGGGGTGGGGGGGCCTGCAGCCCCGGGCAGGGGTCTCCTGGCCCTGGAGCCTCGACATGGCCCTTCCCCCACACTGTCCTTGCCGAAGGACAGGGTCAAGGTTACCCTTCCACTTCCAACACTCTGGGGCCGGCCCTGCGGGGCGGGGCTCCACACTGTGGGCCACGGCCAGATGCAGCCGGCATTTACCTCCAGGAGCTCTGGGGAGGAGGACCTGTCTTCGCAATGCTCACAAACAATGCGACCGACAGCAAGGAAGCTAAGCAAAGGGGTGGATGGAGGTGAGAAATAAGAGGCACGAGCTATAAAACAAAGAACAAAATTAATACTGCGAAATAAATCACACACAGAACTCCTTGAAAAGTACATACGTTGTTTAAAAAAAAAAGAAAAATCGATGGGAATCATGAGTAACAAAAAATGGGGTTTCGGAACAAACAGAAAATGAAACCCCGGCGAGGCAGCGCACGCAGGCGGCCGCGGCGGGTACCTGTACATGGGCATGGTCACAGTGCGCTCGTAATACTGCCACGTGGAGTGCAGGTCCGTGCGGGACAGATTGGTGGCGTAGAACCTCCAGGCCGACTGCAGAGGGGAAGCGGCGAGGGTCAGACGCCTCCCTGCGCTCCCCGCCCCTGCACATGCCCCCAGGCCCAGCCCCCCCGCCAGCCTCAGTTCACCCTTTGTAGGCCGGACACACGCCACTGCAGCCAGCCTGACCTGCCTTCCCTGCCACTGGTGGTTGTGACCTGTCCTGGCGGTCCCGCCTGCTCCCCCAACCCTCAGGGGTAGGTCACACTGGGTATATACACGGGTGACCCCCGGAACCGAGGCCAGGGGGCAGAGCCAGGGACAGGCGCAGCGCTCCTCCCCAGCTCCTCCCCAGCTCCCCAGGCGCCTCGCTCCTCCCCAGCTCCCCCCCCAGCTCCCCGGGGCGCCTCGCTCCTCCCCAGCTCCTCCCCAGCTCCCCCCCAGCTCCCCGGGGCGCCTGGCTCCTCCCCCCGGGCAGTGGCGGGGTGCTCAGTGAGGGAGGGAGCCTGAGCGCAGCGCCGGCTGCTGGGCTCCCGGACCGTCCTCAGCGGGCAACTCGGCGCACAGGTGTGCTTCCGGCGCACAGGTGTGCTTCCGCTGCTGCGCAGCCGCCCTCACAGCTGGTTGCGGGAGCCCCGCCCCCGCCAGCCCGCGGCGCCCACCTGCGCCCACCTGCGCCCCGCCCTCTGCGCTGGACGTCCCCGCTCCGCGCGACCACACAACGCCCGGCCTGTGGTGACCGGTATCAAGACCTCTGCAAGACCCCTTGGCTCTTTTTCATGATCGAATAATATTCAATTGTACCAAACACCGTATTTTGTTCACGCACAAGACGCGCGGCTGCTTTCCGCCTTCCCCCACCGGAAATAGCGCCGCTGCAAACATCGTGGAAAAGGTTTTGGTTGAACATCGGTTTTCAGTTCTTTGGGGTCTGTACGGGGGGCGGGGGCTGCCGGGTCCTCAGGTAACGCAGACCCCCGAGGGACCACCCCACCGTTCTCTGCGCCGCTTGCACCCCGCGACCAGGCGCGCGCCCCGCGACCAGGCACCGGGGCTCCAACTTCTCCGCATCCCCTCCAGTTCTTTCCTACATTTCTCACTTCAGTCGCCCCAGGGGGTGTGAGGACACCTCGTTATGGTTCTGACTTGCATTTCCCTGATGACAAATGATGGGGAGCATTTATCTCACGTGCTTATTAGCCATCCCTAGGTCTCCTTTGGAGAAATGTCTGCTCAAATTCATTTCTAAATTGGTCTTTTTGCTCCTGAGTTGTGGGAGTCCCTTATGTGTTCTGGATACTAGATTCTTACCAGAAATATGACGTGCAAATATTTTCTCCCATTCCGTGGGTTAGCTTTTCACTTTCTTCACAGTGTCCCGTGAAGCACAAAAGTTTTGTATTTTATTTTTTAAATATTTTTTATTTTTTATTAGAGAGACTACAAGCAGGGGGAGCGGCAGGCAGAGGGAGAGGGAGAAATGTGGGTCTGGATCCCAGGACCCCAGGATCATGACCTGAGCTGAAGGCAGACGCTTAACCATCTGAGCCACCCAGGTGCCCCAAAAACGTTTTAATTTTGATAAAGTCCCATGTATTTATTTTTTTCTCTTTTGCTTATGCTTTAGGTTTCCTATCTGCGAAACCAACGCCATGGAAATTTACACCTGTTTTCTTCTAAGAACCTTAGAGTTTGGCTCTTATATTTAGGTTTTTGACCCATTTTGAGTTAATTCTGTTTAAGAGTCTAACGTTATTCTTTTAAAATTGGATATTTGGTCATCCCAACACCATTTGTGGAAGAGACTATTCTTTCCCGTTGGAGGTTTGCAACACCGTGGTTTGAGACTTGTTTTGTGGCCCCAAATATGGCCCATCCTGGGGAATGTTCCCTGTGCTCCGGGCAAGACGCGCTGGGCTGTCCCGGGGATGTCTACAGGTGCGGCTGGCTCCTGGACCGGGTCTTCTGCTTCCTGGGCTCTTCCATCCAGGATGCGAGTGGGGCGTCCACGTCTCCAGCTCTTATCGTACAAACGTCTGTTTCACCCCATAATTCTGTCAGTTTTTGCTGCATATACTTTGGGGTCCTGCGTTAGTGTGTACGTGGTTGTCACTGTTCCTTGTGGACCGACTCTTCTGTCAACGTGTCCTGACCCTCTTTGTCTCCCGTCACAGGGTCGGACGCAGTCTAGACCGTGGCCCTTGGAGGCCACGGTTCCCGGGGAACATCTCTCTCCTTTCTTGTACTTTCAGCCTGTCACTGTCCTGGGGCCTGGGGTGAGTCTCCCACAGACAGCATACGGCCGGGTAGATTTTAAATCTGTTCTTCCCCCTCTGCCTTTCGATTGGGAGAGTTCAATCCATGTCCGTGTAACGTGGTTACGGACAGGCCTCCTGCTGCGTGTGCTTCTGAGCGCCCCCCCCACTGCCTTCCTGGGGGGTCAGGTTTTCCCTTGCCCTTTCCTGAAGTTTTAAAAGCTGTTTTCTGCATGTCACCTGTGGATGACGACTGGCGTCTCACACCCACAGGAGTCTAGTCTGAATGCGCGCCCGCCTCTCCGCAACAGCTCACAAGCTCTGCTCCCCGCCCCCATCCGCCCCCCACTCCGTGCTGTGACCGCTAGCAATCACGGCCGATTCGCCGGGAGCCAGAAATGGGGCTCTGTGAATGCTGCCTCGTGCATTCATCCTTTAAATCACATAAAGAAACAAGAGATGAGTTTTTCAAAAACATGCCGCTACTCCTTTGATATTTGTCCACCGGTGACCTTTTACCGTCTGCATGCCCGGCGGCCACTCCAGCCCTGAGACAGTTTCCAGGTAAAGCCCTGAGCTGACCCTCTGGGGGCTGTCAGAGGTCAAAGCAAACCACCACACTTCCAGAACGAGGTGCACTTCTGCCTCCCCGGACACCAGCAGCCACGCCAGGAGTGCCCCAGGGCGGGGGGCAGATGGCGGGGGGCAGGGCTGGGGCGGGGGGAGGGGCAAGGCTGGGGGAGGGGGCCGGCAGGGGCATTTAGACCCACACGCTCCCAGCTGGGCGGCAGCTCTCAGGCGCACGCCCCTGGCTGATGTAAGATTTTGATTCAGTTCCTGAGAACTGAGAAGTAGGATGCCCCCGAGGACGACCCCATCTTTAAAAAGGAAAGACGCGGGAGGGCGGGGCTGTGTCCACCGGCTCCCCAGCTCTGGAGAGGGGCCCTCGGGCAGCCTGCTGCTCGGGCGCCCCAGCTCAGGAAGTACAGCTGGACCCCGAGGGGCCTCTGAGCCCCAAGCAGTGGGATGGGCTGCGTGGCTCCCTGAGTGGGGTCTCCACGGAGCATGGCTGAGCCAGCACACCGGCCCACACGGGACAACGGCCACGGCCCACGCTGTCACAGCTGCAGGCCTCAGGCCTCTGTGCTGGTTCCCAACACACTGCCCTGACGTCCCCGCCCACCGTGCTCCTGCAAAGGGCTGTGGCCCGTCCACACAGGGGAGACACCGGGGCTCCGCTCCCAGACGGGGAAGGAGCCCGCCGGGAACTCCCCTGGTCCCGGGGGGCCCACCTGGACTCACCTGGATCAGGCCCGCCGCGGGGTTCCGTCTCTTCTCAAAGTGCTTCTGCCGATGTTGCTCTTGAACTTTCAGAGCAAAGCCAGACCCCAAAATGCCCTGCAAGTCATCAGAGTCAGACCATGTGCCGGGGGCCACAGCCCCCACTCCCACCCTGGCCTGTACATGCTGGGGGCCTCGTGGGCTCTGCCTCCCCACCTCCTCAGTCCCTAATCACGTGGGGATCTAGCTGGGGGAGAACACTTGGATTCAGGGTAAAGGAAACCTCTGGCTTGCAGGAGCATGGCAGCGCCCACCCGGAACACGCCCGGACCCAGAGATCATCCTCCTTCTTGACTGTCCGCACTGAAGCAGGTGCAGGCCCAGGTTCTTGGTGAGCAGCCACGTGGGAGAGCAGTGTCCCCCCACCAGCCACCCCTCTGCCCTGCCCCTTCTGTGAGGGTCCCCTAGAGACCTGACGAAGGATCCGTGTCACCGCAAAGCACTGCTCTTGGCCACAAGGACCCTACTGGCCAGTCCCATAGGGCTGGGAGGCCCAAGAGTGACCGACAGATGCCACAGCTTGAGGACGGTCAGAGTGCTCCCACGGTGCGTCACGGAAGCCACCAGCCCCCAGCCAGGGCAGCCCTGAAAGGGCGCCTCTTTGCACCAGACCTGCCGCCTCAAGCTCCTGGGGTGCTGGGGACCCTGCTGGGAGCAGTGCTCCTGTCCCATGGACCCAGGTGGGCAGGTGCCTGGGGCTGCACGTGGCCCCCACCAAGGGCAGGAAGGGGCAGCAGGACTTACCGCGGGAAGAGCAAAGAAGGAGACGCCAATGAGGGTGAACGTTGCAGCCAGGAGCCTCCCGTTCCAGGTCTGGGGGTACTTGTCCCCGTAACCAATGGTCGTCAGGGTGATCTGTGGGACAGCAAGGCCGGTCACTCAGCCAGGCCTGGCAGCGACCACCGTGGAGGCCATGACCCTGACCTGGACGCTCTTCCTAGCGCCCAGGGGTCTTCCACAAAGAGCTGCCCTCAGGACAGGCTGGACAGGCACAGAGGCCAGCCCTCCCACGCCACCAACACGAGGCCCAGTGAGGCCAGGGCCCACATCCCCGTCCTTCATCCCTGCAACAACCATCCCCAAACTCTCCGGATCCCTCCTCTTGCCCCACATTCCAGGGCGGGGTGTGGGGTCACCGGGAGCCTCTCTTCCCACTCCACACCCGTCAGAGCCTCCCACGGAGGGGGCAGGCGGCCGCTCTGGGCTCAAGGTCGGGCAGCAGCCAGGAAGCCCAGAAAGAACCAGCAGCTGGGCAGGGATGGGGCTGAGCAGGAACCACAGGCCGGGGGACAGACGACGGAGACAGGATGGGGGCCTTAGGAGGGTGACTTAGAAGCGGAGGCCAGAAGTGCGGGAAGGGCCCTCCCCCAGGTGCGGCTGGAGCGTCAGCTGCCCCAGCGCAATGCGGGGAGCAGGACGGGACTCCTTGGTGCACAGCGGGGAGGCCAATGCCCATGCACAGGGCCCTCAGGCACACAGGAGGGCCTGCTGCCCACGGGGCGAGCCCCAGGTGGCTCCCACCAGACCTGCCAATGGGGGCGGGCATCTGCCAGCACCCCTGGGGGCCGCCCCCCACACTCCAGTGCACAGAGCCCACCTAACCCCCACCGTGGAGTCTGGGAAACAACACTGGATAAATCACGGCAGGGACTTCTGGGCCTGTGTGCACACAGTGAGAAACAGGGCACCGTCCCCATTCGGGCCTGCGCAGAAGGTTCTGGAAAGGCAACAGTAATGAGGAAGGGCAGCCGGGAGTGGGCATGGGCCAGAAGGGGATCCACTCCTCACCACAAAATCCCCCGGTCAGAACTTCACCAAGTGCGATTACCAAGGTTTTCAGTATAAGAGTATTTTTAAAAAAGACAAAAGACACTTCAAATCACCACTCCCTCCAAAAACTCTGCTGGGTAACAGCTGAGGTTGTGGAAAGGAGCCCCAAGGGCAAGAGTAGGACCTGGAGGACGGGGCTCAGGGCCAGGAGGCAGGAAGAAACCCAGAGTTCGCAGGACGGGAGTCTGGGTGAGAGACCCCAGCCCCAGCGAGCCCCTCCTCCACTCCAGGGCAGGAGTGAGGGACAGACCGGAGGGGGACGGACTGGCTCAGGGGTCCAGGTGGCAAAAGCACGTGCACAGGGGGACGCCTCCCTGAGGTCCCCGTTCCAGAAGCGCATGGGAGTGGGTCCCCGAAGTGCCCGCAGGGAACAGCCACGCACCCTCCGTGGCCCCCGGCAGCTGGGGTGCAGGGAAGTGGGACTTCCACAGACACTCGGGTCTCAGAGCCATCGGCCTGCTCCTCCAAAGTGAGGGCAGACTGGGGTGGGCTTGGGAGGGACCCAGGGCGGGGACCCCCCAACACCGGCCAGGGCCCCCCATAGCTGTGCAGGCCTGCAGAGCAGAGGGAAGGGGGCTCAGGCAGGACGTCTTTCTAGAATGACGAGGACAGCGGAGGAGCCGAACCTCACTCTATCACAGCACCAAGTGGATAATTAAGGTCTAACGCTTCCATCGGGGAACAGCAGCATGAGCATGTAATTTGGGAATATGGAGGTAAACCCCCAACAAAAGCCTCCCCACAGGCAGGAAGGGGCTGCACGTTCACTGTTACCTGCCCACTGTTTATTCGTCCTGTTTACATCTATGCAAAGCACTACTTCGGTCAAACACTCAAAAAAGAGTTTCGATTCAGTTCTCCAAGATGGGAGGACTGGTCCATGCATAAGGCCGGGGGCGGGACAGGCCGCGTCACCAGCCACTGGCCCAGGGCCCGCCCCCGCTGCTTCCCACACAGCTGGATCAGAGGACAGATTCCAGGCCTCCCGGCAATCAATACAATAATTACAAATAAATTGCATTCTCACTTAAATGCGGGGAAAAGCTACACATTCCTTCTCCCCGTTAGATGTGAAGTATCTGCCGAAGGCCACACAGCCAGCTTCTGTGGAAGGGGGTCTAGAGTCCCAGGAGGCAGTGGCCCCGTACGACCCTCCATGCACCCCCAGGCCAAGTGCTCAGCTCCCTCAGGAAGAGCCCCACAAAGGAGGGACCCTCCAGCGCCCTGCCTGGGGACATCTGTGGGCACGGGCCAGGAGAAGCTGGGCCAAGCTCCGTCCAACTACTGGGGGTGAAGCCCGCAGGGCTCAGCCTGGTCCCCACAAGGCACACTCCACAGACACGGGGCCGTCCCCACTCAGGGTGGCCCAGGAAGAGGCGGGTGACAGGAGAGGGGCCGTCCAGGAGCCTGGGAGTTGGGCGGCCGTGAGCAGGGGCTGTGGGTCCAAAGGCTCCAGACCTCCCCTGGGTGGGGCAGCCTGGAAGGTGGAGCCCAGGAGAGCCAGGGGCTCCGGTGTCCCTTTTTCAAACTGTCCTGTCCCTCCCGCCCCCTCCTCCCCTCCAGCACAGAGGTCTCACACACAGATGGCCAATAAGGAAGGAAGGTCGATGACCAGCCAGAGCCAGGCACAGGCTCCCTGGGAGCTGGGCCTCTGTCCACCTGCACGCCCGCCATGCACCCCCACCGCTGCCAGCCTGGGCATCCTGCTTACGACTGGCCAACAGGTGGCCCCAGAGAGACACCTCCAGCAGGAGAGAGCCCTCCTGGGGTCCATGCCCGGGGGGCAGAGGGCACATATTGGGGGGGGGCGGTGCAGACGGTGGGCAGGACAGGACCCCCAGGGAAGGACGATGACCCCAGCGGCCAAGACTCACCAGGCCCCACCAGAGGGCGTCAGCATAAGTGTCAAAGTGATCATTCTCCCCCTTCTCAGCCAAATACACCAGAAAGGAGGCCAGGATGAGGCACAGGAAACCGATGTACCAGGCAGTCACCAGCTCCTAGAAGAAAGGCTCACGTCACAGCCGCCCGGCCCCAGCAGGCAGCGTCCTGCCCAACCCATCCCTGGCAGCGCGGAGGGCCCACCACCCTGGGCAGGCGTGCTATGGGCTCGGCGTCTGCAGGGCTGTGTCCCCACAGAGCCCCCAGCCACCCAGGCCAGCACCTGCTGGGCTGCGTGGCCCTGGGCACAGGGCGGGGGGCGGGCGCCTGGTTTTCTAGTCCCAGCGCTGGGTGGTCCCTGGACCTGGGCGCCCCCCACGCGGAAGCCCAGCACACCCCATCCCCCAGGCTTGGAGCGCTCCCCCAGCAATCAACAAGCATTCAGGCTGCACTTGGGACAATCTCCCTGAGCGTGGAGGAGGCTCCTGGAGGGGCTGGGGGGCCAGCATCTCAGCACTTTGGGGACCGACACCCACCCTGTCCACCAACCAAGCCCCCAGCTCAGGGCTCAGACACCGAGGATCGCCGAGCTCCTGTTGGGGCGCAGGGCTGCAGGCCCCTCACGCGGCCACCTCGAGCCCAGCCTCCAGGGGCCGGTGTCTGGAGGTACCGACCCCGCGCACCCACCGACCGCAGAGCACGCTGCGGAGCGGCTGCTCCAGACAGAGCCGAGCGGGACGCGCAGCTCACGGGAAGACGCCGGGAAAGCGGGGGTGGGCTGGCTCCTGTGTGCCCTGACCTGGACCCCATCCAGCAGGGCCTGGGACCCACACGGCACCGCTCACCTTGCTGTGGGCATAGACCACGGAGCCCAGCAGCTTCCAGGTGCCACCACGCCGGTCCATGCGGATCATGCGCAGGATCTGCAGGAACCGCAGGCTCCGGAGCGCCGACGTGGCGAAGACGTTGCCCTGGGAGCCAGCGGCCAGCACGGCGATGGAGGCAATGAGCACCATGATGTCTGCGGGAGACGGCGGGGCTCGAGGCAGGGCTGGCCCCCTGCACCTCCATTTCTGGCTGCAGGCGACGGGGCCCCCAGGATGATGGACAGACGGACGGGAGGCACATGCAAAGGGCCAGCAAGGGGACAGCACTACTGTCCACCCCGCCCAGCCCTGCCCTGGGCAGCAGCTGTCCCGCCCCCCTCCCCTCCTCCCGCCGCTCAGGCGGTGTTCACCACAGGCGCGGACGCCAAGAGGGCAGGTGGGAGAAACTTCTGGAAGCAGCCAGTCCGCAGTCTCGGCCTGCCTCCGGGCCAGCATGCACACTCGGCTTCTCGGGGGCTGGCAGCCGGCCTGCACCCACTCCGGCCTCACCTATCACACAGAAGGGCTTCCGGGCAAACTTGAGCCGCCCCCGCCAGCCGCGGTACCGACAGCAGCAGCCCGCCGCCCAGATCCGCACGAAGTACTCCACGCCGAACACCACGATGGTCACGATTTCCTGCAGGAGAGGCCGCACTGAGCCACGTGCCGGCCGGGGCAGGGCAGGGACCGAGCCGCTGCTGGGAGGAGGGGGGGTGG